CTACTTACCACTGGCTATCGTGCAGGTCACGGGTTCAACTCCAGGGAACTGTGCAGATACTGTACACAGGTAAGCTGAGGTCAAGGGATCGACCCTTGGGATCTGCATCGGCTACTGCCAAAGGTGAAAACTGTTTCAGAAGTCCAGATAGTCATGTAACAAGCAGAGAGCTCACATGCACCAAGATTCCATCCAAATAAGAGCGACACAGTGAACTCATGAGCCAATGTCCAAGCCCTCAGGCCACACCAACACAGTATTCAATGTCGCTCCTACCGTCTGGCACCCAGCACCCATCCTACTCTACTCATCCTACCTAGCCTACCTATGTTTGTGCAACAGGCTCACTTCTTCCTGAAGACCACGGTCGTCTCCACCTGCCCACAACCCTGCAGCCCGACTATGGCCGTTTGGCGCCCCACTGCCCTGCAGCACCCCTCACCTCTCAGCACCGGCACACGCCCCAGCCAGCATTAGCGCAATGCAAACACTTGCGCTCAATCGCAGCAGCATGTCCGCATTGCCTGCCTAGGGCAGAATGCCCAAGACTGACTGGCCTCCTGTGGGCCCAACTCCACGTGCCCCAGTCAGCATCAGCTCAATGCAGACACTTGCACTCAATCACAGCAGCATGTCCGCATTGCCTGCCTAGGCCAGAATGCCCAAAATTGACTGGCCTCCTCCCTATATGGGAGAGGCTGCTGCTACTGGGCTGTCTGGGCCTGGGCGTGGAAGTTTCCACTACCTTCTAGTTGGGCCCCTGTGTCTGCACCCAGGCCAGTGTCTACAGTTGCGGGCCTGGACCCTTTTCAGTTGGGTACTCCTAAGATTACCGAGGCTCCAAATGTTTGCTGTGTTTGCATTGGCCCGTGGGGTAGATGTGACAACAATGCTGCATTCTCATTGGCCCGTGGCCACTTCGTGATGTGTCAGCCTCACACTGCGCGTGCCCAAGGCGCAACCACCTGCATCATGGGCTCAACTGGCTGACACAGCTGCTTCTTCTGGAAGAGCCCAGGGTGAGGCCCAGGTTGCACTTCAACCAACTGGAGTGTAGCAACTGTCTAAGACCCACATTGGAAAATGCTAACATAAGGGCCTCTCGCGGATATTCAGGCCCGCCTTCACTTAGAACGGGCACGAGGCTTGCTGGGGGCCACAGACCAGAACATAGGCATGTTGTCTAGGGGCCCACAAGGACACATTCCTCACATTCCATCCCCCTTGGCTTCGAAAGTCTGTTGAGATGCTTCTACAGCACCACCGTTCCCCTTCAACCTTCTTTCATAGTCTGCCACAATTTGAGGTGCTGTTTCAATCAGTTCCTCTCTGGTGAACCATCTATCTTCTTTTGGATCTGCGTGATGCCTGAATCTGACCCAGTATTCCCTCTTGGGTTTCAGCGATCATCCTCTACCCACAGGTTTAGGACCAGGCATGTCTCTGTGCTCCAAAATGTCGTCGACGTCCACGTGGCCATCCATGGTTTGGGGCAGCATTGATCTCCTTGATGGGAACTGTTGTGTCTCAGCGAAAGGTGCAAGCTTTGACGCGTGAAACACAGGGTAAGTCCGCAAGTGACCAGGGATTCGAATCACATACGAGAGACCATCCAGTTCACTACCCACAATATCCAAAACATACGAGTGACGCATTAATTTCCTAGAGATGTCGAATTCCTGTCCTCGCTCGCTAGACTTAACCTAGACACATTCCCCTATCTAAAATGTGAACT